GTGACACCCCAGCACACAGTGTTTGTCCACTCCTCTTGTGTCCAGCTGTGCCATACCACATCACAGTGCAGTGTCCATGACCAAGGAGGCTGTCAGCTCTGGCTCTGCTGTCTCTGCGGGTACTGTGAGTCTCCTAGCCCTTCTACAGGGGGGTACCCCATACTTCCAGCTCTGCCCTGCCCTGCCCTGCCCAAGGAGGGAGAGCTGCTGTCCCAGCTGGTGCCCATGTGCTGGTCTCAGTTGCCACACAGAGGGACCATGAGATGGGACACATATGCCACTGCTGGTGAGGGTGGGGGGAACTGTGTCTCAAGACTGCCCAAGCCACCCACATAACCCCCGGTCCCCAGAGTGACCTGCGGGGTCTGTGGAGAAATGACCTGGGCTCCAATATGACTGTCTTGGCCACGAACACAGCTGGGACCTTCTCAGGCTCCCATCAAACTGCAGTGGCAGCCACCAACAAGCAGATCCTGGTGTGACCCTTGTGAGGGCTTCAGCAGTGTCCCAGTGCCGAGAGACACCCCACGTTTGGCTTCACTGTGCAGTGGCAGTTCTCAGCTCCAGCGATGACAGGGATCCACTGCCCATACTGGGAGTGGGGACTCCCCTTTCTGATGCCCTAAATCCCTTGTGGCACCCAGAGGAACCTTGGCTGTGGGCGCAGATTGGCCACATGCAGACATTTCTGCCATGGGAAGTGGTGGTGGGAGAGCTTGTCTGTGGCAGGTCTCAGGAAGAGGGTGATGGGCATGTCCATCTGTCTGTCCAAGCAGGGCTGATGCCCAGCTCTGTGTCCAAGAGATGTGGAAGCAGTCCACCTGGCCAGTGCGGCAGGGAAGTCCATCCCTCTGTCCAGGGCATGTATGTCTGTCTGTCTGCCAGGACCAGGTGGCCCAGGCTTCCCTGTCTTGAGGTGCTGGCTCTCACCCTGCTCTGCCTCTCTCGAACCTTGCCAGACTCCACCACTGCCTTTGTGCCCAGTGCTTTGTGGATCACCATGGGAAGGAGACACTGGAGACTACATGGCTCCTGCAGGAAGAGGTTCTGTCACACAAGGACACCTGGAAAGCCACAAGATGAGCTCTGCCCATGCCATGGGCATGCCATGATGGCATGCCATCTCACCCCACAGCCCTCCCTCCCACCTTGCTGACACATCTTCCCTGCAGGATCAGCTCTTCTATCTTCACCCGCATCAAGTGGTGGGAACAGGGACCACTGCTGCCTGCACCCTGCTGTCCTTCTGCATCCCCAAGTCTCCCCACTGTCCCAGTCCCAAGTTGGGCTCCTGGCAAGGAAACACACCCTCACTTTGCCCTGCTTCTTCCCAGTGCCTCCCAGCAACTTGTTGGCAGGGCTCCCCATTCCCACACTTGCTTCCCTCCCACATGGAGCCAAATAAACCTTTCTCCACAGGGCAGAGAGCTGTTTCCCTTGCATCCCTGGGCTACAAGCAGCCATGTGTGGATGCCTCCCCATTTGTGGCCATGGGGAGAGCAAGGTGCTGGCAGGGGAACAACAAGGAAGTGTTTTGTAGGGGCTGGGAAAGATGGGGTTGGGGGATTGTAGCTGGGTAATTCTGCTTTCTGATCGTGGCTTCAGGCTTCAGCAGGGGCCTTCTTGTCTGTGTACTCATTTGGGACATTCACAGTGCTGGGTGGCTCCAGGCAGCGTGCCCAGTGTGGGGCAGCAGGACACCCCACAGCTGAGGGTAGGGGTGAAAGCTGCATGCAGGCAAGCCAGCACTCTTACCTGGCCTCATCTGATGTGTCTGCACTCCTCTCTGCCCCATCCTCCCATCAAACTCCCTTTCCAGATACTGCTCTGGTTGGGAGTCTCGGTGCTGCATGCGCTTATCGGGGAGAGCTGGGTTCCAGCCCTCACAGAAATCTGGGGTGTTGGAGTGGTCCAAAATCCAGGCTGGATGCTGGGGGGATCAGGAGAGAGGCCTGGGACTCCAGGGGGAGCTACTGGGCAGACCGGGTGGCTAAAGCCAGATGCTGAAGGTGTGCCTGTTGTATGTATGGTGTACAATGTTCTTCCCACCAACTGGCTGTCACCTGATCAGCTGGCAGGTGGAACAGGATACGGATCTTTTCTGGTGTTCATATTCACATGCTGTTATCTGAACATTAAACTTTATCAGCTCCTTAGGAAAGGAAACAAATCGAACAAGGGCCCAATGCCCTTTGCACTGGTCTGACACTAGACCTCACTAATCCATCATTTCGGCAGCTCATACAGTTTCTGACTCGTTAGTTATGTAATCCACGATGCACAGCTCCTAACTCCTGCTCCTGAGCACCACAGGGAGAAGCTGTGTGGGCAGAAAGAGGTGCAAAGGGTGTGAAGGACAATGCTACCTGGGGGCTGCTGGGACAAGAGGCTGCTGGGACAAGAGGCTGCTGGATGGAGCAGAAAGCACACAGTGCCCCGAGAAAGTGTCAGTGCCTGTCTGCCAACCTCTTCCTCTCACGGTGTGCCTGTCCTTCCCCAGCCTTCCTCAGCCTTTGCTTGTCATGGTGCGCTGTCACAGCCTGTTGGGCTGCGTGCTGGGTGTTAGTTCGATGTCAGCAACAGCAGGGGTGCGATAATCCCCCTGCGAGCTCTGCAGATCCCAGTTATTGCTGGTTCAATGCAGGAACAGAAAACAGCGACATGGGTCTTGGGGTAGAACTGGGGTGATTTATTAGATGGATGACACAACGACCCAAGACCACAGCCCAAAGACCACAACCCCAAGACCTGGGACCCCAAGACCAGACTTAAGGGGTATACGGAGGTTTTTATACAACAACTTAGAGGGCGTGGTATAGGACAACTAACCAATGAGGACATGGCAAGTGAGGAGTCTAAGGTGGGACTAACATTCTATAAACCTATCAGGAAAAAGAGGGGAGGGGAATAATACAAATGGGATATCAAGTACTAAAAGATTGACAGAAAAGGTTCTGGAGAAAGGGGTAGGGATTGGGAAGATTGACAGCTTGTGAGGGGAGAAGATTAGGGAGGAGAATAATGGGCAAACAAAAACTTAAAGCAGAACACACCACAACATTAGCTTTTTTCCCTCATTCCTAGCTGGGCTCTGGGGCTGCACCCAGAGTGCACAGACCTGAGACTCTCCAGGGACTGAGCACAACTGGTTGATGTGCCTGGTGGTCCAGCTTTTGGTCAAAAGTCACCCTACATCCTCATCCTCACCCTCGCACCCTCATCCTCATGCCTGCATTCTGCACAGAGTCCTCAGTTCATCCGCACTGATCCTTGGCACTGCCCTGATCATGCTGGGGTCGTTCTCCTGCTTCCCCTCCCAAACGCCCACTGTGGCTGTTGTCAACACCATAAGCACCCAAAGACTTCTCTGTGAGGCTAAAGCCTTGGGACCTCAGTGTTATGTGTAATGAATATTATTCGCGCCAATATAATATGATGTATGTAATATTTTATATTATTGAGAGGATGCACAAGTTGGCACGGGTAGTTGCCCCACATATTTGGAAACTGGTCCCTGATAAAACCTCATTTGCAAGTTAATACATGTAGCTTGTCCAGAGATGGGTCATTTCTCGAGGTGCTACAGGAACGCAGGGTGATGATCATCCCGGCAACAACTCGAGATTGGAATAGCTGGAACCCTCCAAGGTGATACATCTGAATGCTGTGTTCTGGTGTTCCAGCAACTACATCAGGGAGATTCATCACTTCCCAGACACTGGATTGTTTGACTCAGTGCAGAAAAAAGAGACTTTATGAATATGTTGGACTTTGAATGGAAAGAAAAGGCTGATCGCCGAAATCCCAACCTCGAGCAAAATATTCCCTATAAAAACCGCTTGCGCCTGTACCGGGAGGGTGGTGTGTAGGCATAGGGGGACACTCTGCTGAGGCACCCAGCATTGATCCTGGGCTCAGCACTGTCCTTTTCCTTGTGGCTGGCTCCGATAGAATTTGATTGCTGTAATTTTATTTTTTTTTTTTTTTTAATTCAGCTGTGTAAGTGGAAGATGAGGCTGGGAGTCCTATACAGCAGGACACGAGGTCACTGAGAACCATGTTGGCCCAGGACATAAGATTTAATTTAATTTCTGTCCTTTCATTACCCCCACAACTGCAAATTCCTTGGCTCCTTGTTCCTCCTAAGAAGGCAGCCAGTGGGACAGAAAAAGACCCCAAAAGCATTGTGCTTGCTTATCAAGAAAACTGAAAGTAAAACTGTAGAGTTTACAAGAAATCAGCACTGGGAGTGCCACCCCCTCTGTGTCACAATCTGTGTTCATCAGCTGTCCTAACCATCCCATGTCCTGTCCCTGACCTTGATGTGATCCTGCCCTTTTATTGACATTTTCCTTTTTCTCTTGCCTGGTACGTGCAACCTGGGCTGCTTTGCAACTTCCAGCCTGCAATGCCTTACTCAGAGGTTTTCCTATTACTGTTGGGGCAGGTTTGCTTCATTCTTCTCCCAGTTCCCTGGACTCACATGCAGATCACCTGCTGTCCCTGTGCTCTCTGTCCTTCTGTCCATTCCCTGCAGTGACCAGAGGGTGCTTTGGGACACAGGAGCTCCTGCCAGGCAGGATGGAAACTTAGACCCAGCCCTCAACCAGTAGACATGGGCCTAAAGACCCCCAGGATGGGTGATGTCAGTGGGCAGCCCACACAACCTCTCCTGCATGCCTGTTTTGCCCATCCCCATCCTGGTGTCCATCCCTGTTCCAGTCCCTGTGACTATCTCCATCCCTGCTTCCCATCCCTCATCCCTGCCCCCATCCCTGCCCCATCCCCATCCCTCCCACCCTTGCTTCCATCCCCATCCCTGCCCCCGTTCCCATCCCCATTCATGTGCACATCCCCCATCTCTCATCCTTGCCCCGGTCCCCACCCCAGTTGCCTTCCCTATCCCACCACAACCTCTTCCTGTCTTCATCCCCAGCCCTGTCCCCATCCCCGTTATTACCCCTCTCCCCACACCACCCCCCGCCTCCCTCCCACCCCCGTCCCTGTCTCCTTTCCCTTTCTTGTCCCAGCACCAGTCCCTCCTTCAGGTATCGCTCGGGGCTTTCCCGGAAAGCAGTGGCGGAGCCGAAGAATAAAAGCATGTGAGTCACTGGAGCGGCGTGGCAGTGATTCCTTGCCGCCGCTGCATCCCGAGCTGCGTTCCCGATGAGCCGCCGCGTCCTCTCCGTTCTCGCCCTGACTGCAGGGGTGTCCGTGGCAGCGGCTTCGGCAGGCTTCCAGGTAGGAGCTCCTGCTGGGAGGCACGCGTGGGAAACTCGGCTCCGGGGAAGTCTGGGTGGGAGCACGCCTGGGGATCCCGGTGTTCGGGGAGAGACACGAGTGGGAGACTCGCCTGAGGGGTGGAACATGATATGGGAGCTGCAGCGCTTGTTAGGGGTGGGACACGCGTGAAAGACCCCTCTGCGGGGGGAATACTTGGCAACAGGAGAATCCCCTGCTCCAGCGGGTATCCAGACGGGAAACCCTGCCTAGGGAAGTGATGCTCCAGAGTTGTCCGTGTGCCCGGGCGTGATGTGATGTGATAGAGATTCCTTCCCTGTTGCAGGGGCCGTGCGTGTGGAAATCTCCCACTTCCCTCCTAAGTACCTGGAGGGGAATTGGGACAGGGGAAGCATGGGGACCCTGCCCCAGGGAGTGACTTGCCGCTGTCGCTCTCTCAGACGGTGCAGTGTGGAAGTGCTGAGGCAGCACTTAGGACTGCAGGTGGGATGTGCAGGGTTCTGGCTGAGACGGAGCCCACTGTGGACCTCAGGGCAATGCCCATCCCATAAGCACAGCCCTGTCGTGCTACACGTGTCCAGGTCACAGCACAGGTACCCACAAACACGGGCAGATCTGCCCTGGATTCACACAACTCACTTGCCAGGGCTACAGGAGGGGTCCTACCCATGTTGCTGCCTGTACAGGGCTCCCACCTTTCAATCCCTTGCTTGTCTTACCCCAGCTTTTAAACCTCTTGACGTAGCTGAGATAGCAGCAACTTTATGAATCATGTCTTTTAAAAATGATTGCTTGAGCACTCTCAGGACACCAGGAACACTCTGCTGTGCCACCATCCACAGCCTGAACTTTTTTTGTGTTCTTTTCCAAGCTCCTCTGCCAAGGAGATGAGCACCCCGGGGAGAAAAAGACCAGCAAGAAAAAGGAAAAGGCAACCATGAGCTGCCTAGGGGAAAGCAGAAGGCATATCAAGGTGAGTGCCAGAACCCCATGGGCACTGGGAGTTTTGGGCAGGGGGCTCAGCCTGTAAGGGCTGTGTACAGACAGACTCCAGGGACACGTCTGCTTATCCCCAGCCATGCAACCTGACTGGCTGGTGGGAGAACGATCTGGGCTCCAAGATGCAAGTGTTCAAGGTTGGCAAGGACGGAACCTTCTCTGGCGAGTACCATACCGCTGTGTCAAGCACCAAGAAACCCATCCAGCTGTCCCCGCTGACTGGCTCCCAGCACCTGGATGAGGATGGACAGTGCACCTTTGGCTTCACTGTCAACTGGAAGAAGTTCTCAGGTCTGTAGTCGCATGACGGCTGTTGTTGGATGGAATGGTGGGATGGAGAGGAGAGCTCAGGCAGGTCCTAGTGCTCATCCAAATTCCTCTGTTCTCTCTGCTGTCCCTTGCCCTTCCCTGATCTCTCTCCACTCTGGATGGTGTCTGCAGACAGCAGTACACCTCCCAAAACTAGTTTGGGTGAGGCAGCACCAAGGGTTGCCTTGACAACACCTCTGCCGCACAGCATTTCCCTGCAAATATCAGGATCTGTTTGAGCTCCATGAGCACTAAACCCACTGATGTCTGTGAAGCTCCAAAATCAGCTAGGGTCCTATTGGGATGCTAACAGCTGCCACTGCTTTAGACTCCACAGCCGTCTTCGTGGGCCAGTGCTTCAATGGGGATGATGGGAAGGAGGTCCTGCACACCTCCTGGCTGCTGCGGGAGAAAGTCGACTCGGAGTCAGATAACTGGAAAGCCACCAGGTGAACCAAGGTACCCTCAGCCCATCTGGGGTCCCCACGCTGCTGCTGGCTGGGCACCAATGGGCTCCTGCTTCCCCACAGGACCGGCCACAACACTTTCACTCGAATGGACTGAAAGAGGGGAAGAAGCATCTTATCCTGGACACACTCAGGAGACAGGAGTCCCCTCAGCACAATCAGCGTGTACCAGCCTGCTCTGATGTTTCCAGCTCTGGAGGAAGATGTCTCAAAAAAACCCAAATAAAATTAAAGATGTGCAAACACAACTTTGTGCAGTCTGTGGATATATCCTGGAAAAGCTGGGCAAAAACACGGTGGAGGGTGGGTGTGGGATGAAACTCTCATTCCCTTATTCTGGGAAGAGACGGGCTGCAAGAAAGCCTGTTTTCCAGTCCAAACAGGATGGTGCATCCCCAAAGTAATCCTCTGACACTGTGACCAGCACTCACTCTTTCCTCCTGAAAGCCTGGTGAGTGTGCTGGGAGGGTAAGCTGGGGAGCTCTTCTGCATCCCAAAAACTGGGCTGGGAAGCCCCTGGCTCTGACACAGCCCTTAAGCAGGCAGGTGAGGGGCCTTGGCTGCCCCCACACTCCTGAAAACTGCCAAGGGCTGCTCTGTACCAGCCACACAGGACCAGTAGCTGCAGTACACCCAGCCCAAAACTCTTCCTGGAAATGTGATTTACTGAACAGCTAATGACCAGCAAATACAGCCTCTCAAATCTCTGCCCAATGGACTATGTGACTGACCAAAACAGGAAGCGCCTGTGCTGCCCTAGGCACCCCCTCTAAGCCAAAGAAAATGATTTCCAGGAAATCAGCTCTGGGTCTGAATCTGAAACTTAGTCCTTTTGCTTTTTATTCTCAAAATAACCTGGGACAGTGCTGCATGGCCTGAGCTGGCATACTGCCTGGGATTTGATGAACTTAAAGTAGAACTGAGCTGCTGGGGCTGCCACTCCCCACTGCTCCCCTGGCTTTTCTGACATAAATGCTGTAGGTGGAAGAGCTCTGCTAACAGCACCTGTGGCTTTAGCAAGTTTGCCTGCTCTGTGTTTTTGCCTGCCTTGTTGCAAACTCGCATGTGGTTTGCTTCTCAGGTCTTTCTTTCCTGGGGCTCATGTTCCGTTTCCAGAGCAGTGCTGCTGTTCCCTTCTCCGTGCCTTACTGGCATTTCTCCAGCTTTTTCAGTTCCCTTACAGCATTTCTGACCAGAATGTCTTTACACCAACCCTCTGTTATGCATTTATATATCTGCACAGCTTTTTACATGCTTTTAGAGGAGTTTGTGTCACACTATGACATGAAATAACTCACACCTGGATGCTAGATACAAAAAGGGAAAGAAAAGAACCCAAAAAGCAAACTTTATTTTCTGACTCCACTATACATACAGCATAGCAAAATGACAGTGGATTGGAGGGTGAAATCACCACCTCTCCAACCACACTGGTCAAACCCACAGTCCATCAATTCTCTCCACTCACAAAGAAGAGTGCAAAACAATCATTATTTATGTGAACATGAATGAGGGAATTCAGTTGAAATATGTAAACATCAGAAGGCATAAGAAACTTTTAGGAGAACTTTAAAACTCCCAAAAGAACAGGGCGACAAGTCTGAGAACCAGGAAAGTGAGGGGCATGAGAGGGCATCACAGGACTCTGCTCTCATTTGAATCGTGACCAGCTCAGCAGCGAGGAACGCTGCTAAGCCTCCAGCCTCACTGCATGCATTCTCCTGCCCTCATTATTGCCAACATTTCCTCAGGGCAGGGCTCTCCCAAAGCTGTGCAGCATGCCCAGAGTGCTTCTCAGCAAGGCAGCAGTGTTGACCACAGTTGGAGCATCCTGCAAACCCCAGCAGGCAGCCACAGTGCTGGTGAGGAGCACGGCAGGCAAGAGCTGGCAGAGCTATTCCCAAGGCCAGTCCCTACATGAGGGCACCCAGCTAGGCTGCAATGCATCCCTGGCACTCTTTGGGTTTGAGGTGACAGGTGATTGGACCTGCGGGTACTGCAGGTGTCTGGGAGTGGTTAAGGATGGGGATGTTTCTCCATGGACATTTGGCAGCCCTCAGCTCTGGGTTTTATTCAGTTGCAAACCTGCTCACAGTGCTGGTCCGCAAATCCAGCACCATTTGTTTCCTTCTCTTGCAGGGAATTCCTGCAAGTGTGAGCAGGACTTCCCCTTCAGCCCCACTGCAGGAAAACCCGCTGTTTCTGCTGCATGACAAGACTTGATCAGGGTCATTCACACATTGTGAATGCCTCCAGGGGCAGGGGGAGCTGGTGAAGGCAGGAGGCACCTGAAATCACATGGACATGTCTATGTGGAACAGCTGTTCACACACATAGTGTATCAGTTTAAAAAAAATGAGCTTATTAGGATCTTGGCATGGGGTGATGCTTGCATAAGGATCAAATGCACTGAAGTCACTGTTAGAATGGAGAAGAAGCTTCAACTGCAGGGATTCTCCAGCACTTACATGTCTTAACCACATGTGGAAAACTGTCCTATGCAACCGTTTCTGTGGGGACTGCTCCTGTCAACCGTTTACAAATGTCTCAACACGGAACATCTTAGTGCCCAACATCTCTCTCAGTGCAGCTGTCGACCCACCTAAGCAGAAGAGGCAGGAAATTCCCAGGTCACTCAAGGGACTGCATGGTTGGTGGGGTTGGGTGTACCAAAACCTCATACCCCTCCACTCTGCAGCGATGACAAAAGATTAAATTTGATTTTCAAGCCATAACTTCACTGATGAATGAAGACACATAGCTCCCATCCCCTTCACCACTTCTCTGTGGTCCTCTGGTCAGGACCCCACATCGTGCTCTGCTCTTCTGCCTCTCTCCATGGCCTTGTTCCAGCTGTAGCCTTGCCAACCACAGACTGCCATCCTGAGAGAATGGAGGAGCTCCTTAGTTATGTTCTCAGACCTTCCTGGGTCTGGTTTGGAACGAGGGCACCCTCCCACATGTGTTCTGCCTCCCTATCCTACAGATAAGCTCATCAAATTTGTCAGTATAACCCCTCGTGTGGATGAGGGACCTGCAGCTTGTCCAGTGTGTCCTACCTGGTTCAGAGGATTACTCACTCCTGCCACCCTTCCCCACCCATGCTCTGCTGTGGCACCAGAGCTGAGTCCCCTCCACTGCACCCTGACCAGGCAGTGGGTCACTGACCTCGGCTCCAATGTAACCATCTTGGCTGTGAACAGAAAAGGCAACTTCATGGCTGCTGCCACACACCATGAATGAGGTCTGGGTGTCACCACTGCAGGTGACACACTCAATGAACCAGAAGAGCCAGCCCAACTTCAGCTGTCACCTAGAGTTTTTCAGGTGCTTCTCCTTTCCCAGCCTCCTTCTTGTATTCTCAGGGCTCCTCTAGTGTCCACTGAGATGTCCTTGGAGTATCCCTGCCCTTCCTGTGATGTCCAGCTCAGCTAGGCTCATGCCACCATGCCCTGCATATCCCATGACTGTTCAAGGTCCCAGCAGGACAGGAAGCAGGGGAGGGAAACATCTCCCACCCACAAGCAACCTTTCCCACTGACAAATTGGGTGCCTAAGAGGGACAACACCATCCCATCCCATCCCATCCCATCCCATCCCATCCCATCCCATCCCATCCCATCCCATCCCATCCCATCCCATCCCATCCCACCAGCATCTCATCCCATCCCTTCACAGACTCCAGACTCCATCACTGCCGCCATGGGCCAAAGCTTCACAGATGAGGAGAGAAAGAAAATACTGAAGGACCACATGGATCATACAAGATGAGGCTGACATGCTCAAGGATGACTGCAAAGCTAGTGGGAGGGCTGCAGGGCACTTGTCCATCCTTGCTCTGTGCTGGTGCTGCCCCTGTGGGTGTTGCATAGAGCCCACAGGGGAGTGCCAAGTCCTGGGTGCTGGGAGCCAGCTGGGCAGCAAGCAAGGGAGAGCACTGTCAGGATCCCAAGGGCTTTTGCAGGAAGTCCACAGGATGGGAATTAAACTCAGCCCTATAATTTTTTTATTAAAAGCAAAGTGCAATTTGAACGTAGGATTATGCTCCCTGAGGAAGAGGAGAATGGGTTTCCTTGTCTTCAGGCCCAGGAAAGATGAGAAGGATTGTCAAAGCAGATCTCACCCCTTGTGCTTGGGCAGGGGTCAGAGAGGTACCTCATGGTCTGGACACAGCCAGATGCTACTTCTGTCTTTCCCTTCAGTGATATGTTCACCAGGTTAGAGTGGTATTTTAGAGGCTGTGTCTGTGCTGTGTCCCTGTGCAAATGCCAGGCAGTCTGAGCACCCCCATTACAGTCTTGCACAATCAGGAACTCCTTGGGAAGGGTCAGACAGGGCCCTGCCCGGCCTCAGAGCATCATGCATATGGCATCGCCTCCCACGGTGTCTAGGGAGGCACCATGCACAGAACATACCCTCCCACAGGAGTAAGCAAATTTTAACTTCCACATATCTTCCAGAAAAGCCCTTCTGCACTTGCAAGAATGGCTGATTCAAGAGTTCATGCTGCAGTGACAGTCTTAGGTCCCAAACCCGAGGAAAACCCAGCACAGCCAGGATGAAAAATAGTTTAGAAAGAGCAGCAGACATAGTGCAGGAGGGGATGGTGACAGGGGATGAGCCTCCATTGAGCAAGGAACGGGGTCGGCAGAGCCTCTTGGACAGTGGATGTGTAAATCATTCCTGCATCCCCACCTCCCTGCACAGCCGTGCTTGTCCCCACATTCCTTCAGCGCTGCCCAGGTCAGGCAGACCTCCTCACCTCACCTGGCCTGGGCACGCTGACATCAGGACACTCAAGCTGCAGCTGCCAGCCGTCATGGCTCTGGTTACAGCTCTATAAAGGGGTTTGGGATGCAGAGCAGAGAGGGAGATAGGCTGGGCATTTCACAGCCCCGCAGCCATGTGGGGCGGTGCTTTCATCCTGGTCCTTGCCCTTGCTGTGGCTCTGGCAGAGAGTGTTGCTCCTGCAGAGAGGAAGGTACGGGGATGGGTGACAAGGGGAGCATGGCAGACGTGGCAATGGGATGCAGTGTGAGCAGCCAGGAGTTCTCCCTTAAATGCCATTTTAGGCTTAGATAAACAGGAAAGCCTTGCAAGAACCAAGTTCAGGCAGAGGGCAAGGTATCCCTGGATCACCCTCAGCCACCTGGTATCACCTCCAGAAAGATTTGTTCCCATGAGGGAAACATGCACAGGGCATTCCTTGCCTTGGGGTTTGTGCCTGGGAGCACCATGCATGTGTGCA